TATGTGATATGTTAGTATATGTATTATATGTTTATGTTACATGATTATGTTGTAATGTTGGTAATGGTTCTATGTAGTCTAAGTTGGATAGCTTAAGAACTCTTGGTTTAATATGTTATTACGATGTTCTTGTCTGATTGTTCGCTCTCGGGTGGATCATTTGTTCGACTGTCTATTTGATCTCTGACTTCATATGACTTCATGTATTGTATGTAAGACTAGGATTTGTCCCCTCACACTTGTAGGAGTGTTATAAGATTAGATTTGGTATGTAGCATTCACTTGGGATAAAATAGGCCCGTTGGCTGAAACAGATCGGAAGTGATTATCAGGTTGTGGAGGACTACAACATTCACATGATAGGTTTGGGAACGCATGGTTGTTATGTATTTCATATACATGTTGATAGGAGATTTGGCAGGTCGGCTCTAGAGCCGAGAACTTTGTGTAGATATATATATATATATATATATATATATATATATATATATATATATATATATATATATATATATATATATATATATATATATATATATATGTAGTATAAGGGGAACTCACAAAGCTTTATGCTTACAGTTGTGGATAAAAGGTTTTGGAAATAGATCTAGATTACATGCCTAATTTTTGGTGTTTGATTTCGATCCATGTCTAATTTTCATTTTCGTATATGATTTTCTTCTTAGATCTATAGTCACTTTCTGATAGAAACCATCACAACAACAGAGTATTCATGTGTGATTAATTATTGTTTATTCATATATTTAATGTTTATTGATATTTTTTTGGTTTGCTTAATAGAATGTTATTTAAAGATAAAATAGATTGTTATTTCCTATGATTTTAGCAATTTATATATCACTAAGAAAAATCTTGAACCCATGCAAAACATGGGCACATGGGCCCTTTTCTAATTTATATTAATGTTATATGTATAATTTGTCGACGTGCCAAACAATTTTGTGGTCACTATATTTATATAATTTTTTTAGTGTACGTTGTTTGTTAGCTTTGCACAATTATTAAAATACATAATTATGGGCGAAGTGGATTGGTTGAACTTGTAGCAAGTAGGATAAAGACATGCATGGTTAGAGTGTCTAATTCAATATTCAATAATAATAATAACAACTATAATTGATAATCATGTCCACCCTCATGTAATTCTGTTTCATATAAATACTTTATTATTCTAAAATAAATTGATCCAAAATTTAATCTTAGAATTAAACATTTGGAAATTATACTCGTACGAGTAAATCGAAGATATTAATTTCAATTCAGATTGGTATTTTTTTAACGAACGGATGAATTATTTTAATAATTATTTTAATAAAAACTAATAAAATCTCCTTATCATTTCATACTATATTATAAAGGAAACATTTTTCTTTCATCACATTCATTTGAAACTTCCATGCATTTTTCCTTTGACCACATTCATTTGAAACTCCTATGACTTTTCAATTTCTTTCTAATAATGATTATAAGTTGGTTAATAAGATTAAATATCAAATTTAAAGTGTAATCATATATAAACTAAATTTCAATATTAAAAAAATATCTTTACTTCTACTTATAAAGTTATATTTTTGTAAATCTTTACATATTATACTTAATTTATTAGTTTTAATATATTGTTGGATGTAACCATTATCATTTTAAAACTACAACTTTTGAACAATTTGTATAAAATATTTAAATTATAAATTTAAATATAACATTACAGGACCAACTTAAATATAAATTTTAGTTCAACTTAAGCAACCCAAATAATATTTTGTAAATAGTTAAAAGTGATAAATTGTAGTGTATTTCTAATAATGATTATAATTTGGTTAATAAGGTTAGATAAATATCAAACCAAAAGTGTAATCATAAATAAACTAAATTTCAATTTTAAAATAATATATTTACTTCTACTTATAAAGTTATGTCTTTAACTTTTAACATATTATACTTAATTTATTAGATTTAATATGTTGTTGTATGTAAACCATTATCAATTTAAAACTACAATTTTTGAACAGTTTTGACTAAATACTTAAACTGTTAATTTAAATATAACATTACAATGTCAACTTAAATACAAATTTTACTTCCACTTAAAAAACACAAAGGATATTTTGTGAATACTTAAAAGTGATAAATTATAATGCTAAATGTAGAAACTAAATTGTAATATCAATTTAACTAAAATATTTCCTAAAGATATTTTTATAATCGTTAAAAGTTTTCAAATAAGTAGCTTAAAATAACTTACAATAACAATAGTTAAAAATAACTCTATATAAATGTTTATATTGTCACCTTTAAAAAAATTATTTGATGTTTTAAATAATTACAATGACAAAAATTAAAAAGTTAAGCAAATAAATTTTCAAAAATTAATTATCAATAAAAACAACTATATATAACATTAAAGCATATATTATATTTCATTTTATTCATGAGTAACCTGCGGGTAGAGGTCGTTCAAAAGATTAAGATTATGCAGTTTTAATAGATGTATATATTATCATATAATTCAAAATAATCAATATATTATATCAACTTAGTATATGAATTATTATATCAAATTTAACAACAACATTATTGTTATATTTAAAAACATATATTTGTAAAAATTTCAGCTATATAGATGCTTCTGCGCAAAGCGCGGACATTCGCCTAGTTATTGTAATAAAAGAATATTTTTATTCTCATTTTGACATTTGTCACCATATTAGGCTTCATAATTAATGCATTTTTTTTGTTATGTATCTCTATTATGTCTCCTAATTAATGTATGCCACTTGTCAACCTATTGATTCTCCATTTCAAATTTCAAAATTTAAAATTTTTCACTCTAATTATATTAAATTAATAACATTAGAATAAAATTTAACATAAAATTAACACAAATTATAAAGTGATATATAATTTTACACATTTATTTAAAACAATGATTATAATTTTATATAACTAAAAAATCTCTTAATTAATAATTTATTTAAAATAATTGATTAATAATTTTGAGTTTTTACTATTAAAGTTTAATTATCTTTGTAACCGTGCGTTTCCACGGGTTATAAACTAGTGTTTAAATAAACAAATAAAAAAATTATACAAAACATTCTCCTACGAAATTACTTTATAAAGAGACAAAAACAGGCATTCTTATATCTCATTTAAGTATTACACTTTTATCCACGTGCCATGTTTTTTTTTTTTTTTAATTTTTTACAATTTTTTGCATTTTATGAATTATGATGATATATTGGATTGATTGTGATTTATCACCAAATCCTTTCAACCAAAGCATTCAATATATCTCTAATTGAAGAAAAAAATGTACTATTTTTCATATTTGAAACATGAGCAACGTTTATCATAATTTTTCTTTATAAAAGATATTCACATTTTATTTTATTTTAACAGTACAATGCTTGAGTTTGTATACAATCTAATGGCTTATTTGATTATCTACAAAATTTCTAGAATACCTTTTAATAGTTTTAAAAAACTAGCAAAATTAAAGATTACAAATAAAAATTTTATAAATCAGGAATAACATCAAATAAAAACTTAAGTAGTTAATTGTATATATTTTTTGTACACCAACTCTTTGAGAAAAATATCTCAAAGTTAGTTGGGATAAATTTCTTAAGATTTGTTAAGCTAGCTAATTTACACACAGAAATTCATTTACGACCCTTCCATTTACAACTTATTCACAAAAAAGTTTTCGCTTACACCGTTTTTATGTATGTAATTTATTGTATACCATTATTTGATTAAGGTACAGAGAATGGATTGTAATTCTTGAAGAAAAAATTAAATAAGAATAAAATAAATTGAAATTATTAATTACTTTCTACTGAGTTATAAATGTTAAAAAAATAATAATAATAAAAAAATAAAAAATAAGGTCAAAAGTGAAATTAGAAAACAGTAGTGTCTAGGATAATCATTACTGAAATTATCGGTCATAGTCACATACATATCTAATAATCCTATGTGAATCTTTGAAATCTATATGAAGTTAAAGCTATGTTTGATACATTAACTAAAAGGTTATCATATTGCATGAAAAGCTATCTTAGTTAATAAAAAAATATATAATTTGATAAAACTAGCTTGAGGAATATAAAATAACATAAAAAATGACAGGTAAAATTATACTTTATTTTTAAACTAAATTAACCAAACACGAATCATAAAATTTGATCCCTATATATTCGGAATTAGAAAACAACTTTTATTCCAAGATTTAGTTATGATTTATGCTTAGAAATTATTTCAAAGAGAATGAGGTAAATCGGTAGAAAAACGAGCTAAATATCGAAGTCTGGCAAAATTGGGCCATTGTTGCCTACTGGACCCGGGCTTGGTATGCTGGGAGCCTGGGAGTTTTGGGCTGAAATACATTTAGAATTTCTGTTTTTGGTACGATTTATATTATTTATCTTTTAAAACAACTTTTTTCGATATTTTAATGGGTATTTTTAACATTATTTTAGTTATTAAATTTACGAAATTACGAAATTAAGATCGTCATCCATCAGCCATCATTTTATCCCAAGCAAGCAACATGATTCTTTTATGTACGAATAGAATCATATATAGTTGGGTTCCTAGGAAGCAGCTATGTAATTTTACTTTAACCTTTTCAAATATTTTTCTATTAAAATTACAATATCATTACTAACGTTTTAGTAATTACAAGTATTACATCCCTGTTTTTTTTTTTCTTTTGCATTTAAACTAGATAAACAAATCCTCAAGTTAATTTCTTACGTATTCGTGTCTATTAACAAAAAATGTCACATACCTTATTTAATAAAAATTTACTAGAGTACTAGACTAAATACCAAACAACCCTTACCAATTGGGCTTAGTGTAAGAAGGCTCAATAATCCGAAGTCTTTAAATCATTGGGACAGAATGGCCATACCTAAGTGATTGGGCCGGGTTTATGTATACGGGTCGAGTTGTAGAAGCCGCGATACAACTAGATTCTCCACCAGCAATGGAAGATCGCCTTTGACGTCACAAGGGAAGACAATAAATTCACTCTAATCTACATACATAGTAGAAGTAGAGCTTAATCACACATCAACAAGATTACGTGACAAAAAAACATCAAATTCATCGTTTATTAGAGCAACAGTTTGTTAAAAGAGATCGAATTTTCGATTGAGGATTGCAGATTTGACAAAAGGAGATAAAAAATGAGGGCGTTGGTAGATTCACTTGGGCTTTTGTTCATGATTTCGATGTTCAGTGCTTGTAACGGGCTATCTACTCCTCGAATCATTGAACGCATGCACATCAGCAGTAGTGGTAGCAGCAACAGCAGTTATTTGACCAAGGATGAGCTCTGGTTCAATCAGACGCTCGATCATTTTTCCCCTTACGTATGCATTCTCTCCCCCTTTAATCTTTATGTCATTTACCATTAATTTTATGAAGATTAGACATCTAATTTTGTGAAATTGTTCATGAATTCCCAATCGGTATGTATGATGAGTCATTGTGTTTTGGCATTTACAGGATCATCGTAAGTTTGGGCAGCGGTATTACGAGTACTTGAACGAATTCAAGCTTCCCCATGGTCCAATCTTCTTAAAAATATGTGGTGAAGCTGCATGTAACGGGATATCAAATGACTATATGAGCGTACAATACCAAAATCTTCATACATGATCATATATCTATAGCCTTTATTCATGAATTTTATGTTTATACGTGAAAGCAATTGTCCCTGATGGATCATAATCTTCTAATTCCATACAGATTTTGGCAAAGAAGTTTGGAGCTGCTTTAGTTACACTTGAGCATCGATACTACGGAAAGAGTTCTCCATTCAAATCTCTAACAACCAAAAACCTAAAATTTCTTTCATCTAAGCAGGCACTGTTTGACTTAGCTGCTTTCCATCAATTCTATCAGGTTTATAGATGAATTTATTTGGAATAATTCAAATATTGGTACTTTTAGTTTCATAACATATTATTCTCCATGATCTTGTAGGAATCATTAAACTCAAAACTCAACAGAACAAATATTGAAAATCCATGGTTTGTGTTTGGTGTTTCTTATGCTGGAGCTCTTAGCGCATGGTTTCGTTTGAAGTTCCCTCATCTCACATGTGGGAGTCTTGCAAGCTCTGCTGTAGTTAATGCTGTTTACAACTTCACTGAATTCGACCAACAGGTGATGAACAATGTTTAAAAAAAAAAAAAAACATTTATCTTTATTTAAGGGACGTTTTTGTTCACAAATCTTTTCTGTTATGACAGGTTGGTGAGTCAGCAGGACCTGAATGTAAAGCTGTATTACAAGAAGTTACTCAACTTGTTGAAGAAAAGCTTGCATCTAATAGTAACGCATTGAAGACCACATTTGGTGCTACTCAGGTAATATATATGAAGTGATTGACTATTTGACTTTATGAACCTGTCATGTTTGACTACTATAATATCCTTTTTTCAGCTAAAAATAGATGGTGACTTCTTGTATTTTCTAGCGGATGCTGCAGCCATAGCTGTAAGTTTTTTCACATATATATTTATATATACCTTTTCCATAGCTGACATGAATCATGAATTCATGATATATCATATATGAATCTTTGTAGTTTCAATATGGGAATCCGGATAAACTTTGCACACCAATGACTAAAGCTAAAAAGGCGGGAGAAGATCTAGTGGTAATTCCAATTTCCAATTTCCAAGTTTCTTGTTCTTGAATTCTTTTTCTTAATACAATCTTGAAACTAAAAAAAAGTAACAACCTTTATGCAGAATGCATATGCAAAATACGTGAAGGAATATTATGTAGGAAGTTTTGGAGCTGAAGTTGAATCATATAACCAAGAAAATCTTAAAAAGACAAACCCAAGTATGTATGAATCTGGTGATCGATTATGGTGGTTTCAAGTTTGTAGTGAAGTTGCATATTTCCAGGTGGCACCTTCAAATGATAGCATTCGCTCTTCAAAGATTGACATAAGGCATGTGACATATCAACATTATGACACATTTTAATCATTAATATAAAATCCAAGTTTCATGATTCTGTTATTAAAATTTAACAGGTATCATTTGGATCTATGTAAAAATGTATTTGGAGAAGGTGTGTATCCACTTGTTAATGCTACAAATCTTTACTATGGGGGCAAAAACATTGCTGGTATGAACTATGAACTATGAACATTACTATTTACATGTAAATTTCAGGGTTAATTTCTTTTTGATGAATTTTGTTGAAATATGTAAAATGTAGGATCAAAAATAGTTTTTACAAATGGGTCACAAGATCCATGGAGACGAGCATCAAAGCAAGTGTCATCTGAAAGCAGTAAGTCTCCAACCCTAATATTTTATTTTTTGTTTCTATCACTTAATTTGTGTTTTTTTTATAATTTTATTTGTAGTGCCATCATATATAATTAGTTGTCATAAATGTGGTCATGGAAGTGATTTAAGAGGTTGCCCACAGTCTCCTTCGCCTCCTGAAGGTTTGTAAATTGTATATATTTTTCATGTGTGCGTAATATTAATTATTAATTATTAATTATTATATAACAATTCGTGACTGAATAATGAAATTATAATTTCAGGAAGCTCAAAGGGGTGTAGTTCACCGGATGTGGTTGACAAAGTAAGACATGAGATTGTAGAACAGATAGACTTATGGTTGGCTGAGTGTCATGATTTTGGTAAGTGTTCAAGCCAATAAGTCTTCAGAAGAACATGTGGATAGTTGCTTCATTCATGATCTTAATTATCTGTTTTTAGTGAGATTGAGAGATGATGATGCAAATAAGACATGCAATGTATCAAAACCTTTGTTGCATGTAAATTGCAAACATTTTTGATACTCATTACCTTGTATTCTTTTGTGAATATTGATGTTTGTTCTTCTTGGATTAAGCTGTTAGCTAGTAAAATGAATGTCATGTTTTATGATCATGTCGTGTTTGGTTACTATAAAAACATATGAGAGTAGAATGTTGATAACTTGAGATTCCCACTTTGGTTTTAATGATAACAACATTGAACCAAGATCATATGGTTATTTAACAATTTCTTTGTTTGTGTGAAAGATACTATTGTGAAAGTATTATCAAGTATTATACATCTAAGTGATCAAAACAATTCAAGCTTAAACACATATAATGTGTTTATGCGCCCCCATGAAGGGCATCAACAAATACTTTCAACGAAGTTCTTTTTTTATGTTTGGCCAATGAAAGAAAGATCTTTAAGAGATTTTACTACTCAAATTTACTCCTGTTATCTTTTGAGGCGTGGTGACGAGGTTGAGGTGAAAATAGGGATGATTGTTAGGCAATCATTTTAAGGGATCATCCTATGTATATCCATCCTTGTAAGAGATTAGATTACTCAAATTTTAATAATCATACATGTTTTGTTTTGTATGTAGCTTTAATAATTAAAAAAGGTATTACGGCACTTTCTTATAAAACTATCGACGGTATTACAAAAATAGATCATAGTGATCGATGTAGAACATGTGAATATTCATGTAGTACCCCTTGTTGCTTCAATGAGAGGGATAGAGGCTAGGTTAGCTGTAAGATGGTTATTGGCTCACATATACTTTCATTCATGAAACTAGGTTAAAACCCGTGGAACCCACGGGTGTTAATTTTAAATAGAATTAAAAATTTAATTAATTATGTAATAAAGTAATATATCATTAATTTATAAAATTTATGAATTGTAATATAATTTAAAAGATAACCTTTAAGAAAGAACGTACCTTTGTAAGCAGAAATATTACAGTTGTAGTGGTTAAAGATGGATGGTTTGATGTAGTATGTAAATTAATGTTACTTGTATTATCTAAGTAGAAATTATTTAATTTTGTATTATTTTTAGACTTAAATGAATGCATTATATGTCTGCCAGGTAAACCTATAACAATAATTAGTTTATAAACTAAGCTACGTAAAAGATAACAATAATAAATTCATAATCTTTGTATTTTGAACAGATGCGTTGTACTATAATTTTAAACCACAATTGTTATTTCCGAATGTTTTGAAGATTATATCAATTGTATTTATATTTTAAGGATACATGATAATTTTGATGATAATAAAATTAATAAGTTTATATTTATATTTTAAAGGGAAATTCCTTTTAAAATCATCTATATAAGAAGAAGAGTAGCTTGGGAGTGTAGTTACACTTACATACTTCCATTGTTATCAGCTTTCAACATGTAATGCTTAAAATTATTTTATTACATATAAGAAATTGTGTTGGTTTAAATTAAAAACAATATAAAAAAAATAAAAAACAAAAAGAAACTAACTCTTTCTTGAACTCATTAATTTCAACAATGTCAGAATTAATGAACAATTTGGTTACATCAAAATAACTTTTGGTTTGACCAATTCCTGTAAAAATAAATTAGTCAATAAAAGTAAATTCAAAAATATATATATATACAAAGCGTGAATACAAACCATCCCAAATGTTAAGTTTAACAAACCGCATCACTATAACAACACAAGTAACCGTGGGGTTAGTTTTGAGGTATTGTGACATTTGGTATGTTTAAGTTCCAAATATAGTGACCTTCAGGTGTACAGACCTAAATAAAAAATGAAATTAGTTATTACGAAAAAATTGTGATTACAAATAATAAAGAAATAAAAGAAATATAATCTCACAGTAGGTTGCTAATAGTCATCTTTATGTAATGCTTGGATGGGTTAGGATTTGATGTTTCAAGTGCCCGAAATGAGACAATTTGTCCAATAACATCTACACAAGTATAACAAAATATAATAACTAAGATTAAGTTAAATACTAAAATGTATAATAAATTACACAAGTTATAAAAGTGGTTGGAATAAAATTAAATAACTAACCAAATAATGAGTCTCTTGGGCATGTTTGTTCGATAATAGAATTAAAATCAACAAACACAAATCCACTCACCGGACCTGAAAAATCCTCACATTTTTTTAGAATACTTTTCCAATTCAAAGTTATGGTTTGTTTATGACCCGTAGCACTAAAACCATTATTCACAACTGTCATGTTGGGTTTTAAAATGATATAAGTTTGACCTTCCTTTAAAAGATCATCAAATCTGGAAAAAATTTGATTGAAAACACGATAATGGTATTTTGTACCCTGTTAAATCAAATAAATAACAATTATTTTATTGTTTGAAACATATGTAATATTGAATGGGATATTAAAAAGATACTACAACAAACCTCCTCATCCATTAGGATCATTTCAATTGATAAAACCACATTATTCTTTATAAAGTTCCACATTTTTACCACCCGCACTTTGATATGTGAATCATAATCAATCTGTTCAATGTTTTTGAGGTATACTTTATTACCTATATTCATTTCCTGCAAACAATTGAAAGCATATTGAAATTCAAAGTTAAGTATATATTCCATTGTTAAAAGAAATAAAATGTCGAGTTTCAGTTTAATAATTTGGAAAATAGGATCCTACTTAAAATTACACCAATCTTTGACTTTCATATGAGATTTTATACCTTTACTTATCATCATTATTTTTATCCACATTGACAAATGATGCATCCATAAAAAAAAGGATCCAGTGGTAACATGAATAATATAAGTAAGCAAATAGTAGATGTAATATGGTACTTTATTAATTTAAAATGTAATTTTTTTGTTAAATGAAAGTATATTGCTATTTGTTCTTAGTTTGAGATGGATATCTTTGTTTTGAAGAATCATAAGGGATTAAATCCATTAAAGATAATATTGAAACAATGAAGATCCACCAAAGGTTTAAATCTGAATAGTTTGTGTAACAGAATAGGCATAAAACGTAAACAGTGTAACAGAATAAGCAGAAATTGAAAAACAGTTTTTTGTATACAGAAAAGTTAAGTACAATGCTATTAGAGATAAATAATTGAATGTATATTACTAATTGTTCTTAGTGAAGTACAAAAAAACCTTTTACCTTTTTGTGTAAATTGTGGAAAATAGGTATGTGGTTAGACAAAACAGCCCCGTAAGTTAGAAAATTTTGTCAAAACAACCATGAATCTGTAATAGGGGCAAAGACGTAAATATTAATGTGGTTAAATTATGGTCAAACAATAAAGTAGTAAATTATGCACTTTGTGTAGCAAAATAAGTAGAAACGAAAACATTGTAACAAAATAAGCAGAAAAATAAAAACAGTTTTTGTATACAGAAAAGTTATGTACTTTGTTGATATTATTGGTACTTTAAACAATATAAAGAAAGAGCTTGTAAACAAAGAAGAATAGAGTAAAGAAAGCACATACACACACATAAATTTTTGAAACAAATATATGAACTAATGAGTATAAGATAAACAATTTATGTTTCAATTTTAATTGTGTTAGACTATTTAGCCCATATTCGGTTGTACTTTAGAAAGTCTCCGAAAAAAGCATTTTCATCCATATACAAAACTTTTTTCAAATCCATCAATATGTTTAATAAAAGTTCTTACCTTTGATGAGATAAAGAAAGAACCTGTAAACAAAGAAGAATAGAGTAAAGAAAGCACATACACACACATAAATTTTTGAAACACATATATGAACTAATAAGTATCAGATACACGAAAAAGTAGGATGTTATTATATTAAGATGACGATTTTGACATTTTTTAACGATTGTTTATTGAAAGCTTTTTAACTTACATGTATTGAAGAGATGGCTAATAAAACGTTTTTTTCCTCTGCTCCTACAATGGATCTATGAAAGAATGGAAGTGTGAAGATGATATGGAGAAAGGTAAGAATATTTATCCAAGAAAACCAATCAAAGATATATAAACTTCCTAATATTACGTTAAATAAGGTTGTGATCAGATTGAAATAATTAATTACGTATTTTAGAGTAAAAGTCGATTAATGAGTTTCCTTGTTAGATATACATGCAGTAAATAGATAATTACATTCTGGAAAAATATGTTTGCTCAAAAGAGTATAATATATTTTGAATATTAAAATGGGATATGCTCACCTTATTTAAAGGGGTTTTTTTGTTTCGGTCAAACGATATAATAAGAAATTTTTAAATTAATGCAAGAAGATTGAAGAGATGAGATAAAACGGAAGTGAAAGGCATTTTTAGTGTTTCACTTGAATGAAAAAAGCGGGAAAATTCGAATTAGGGGTCCTTAGAGAATGTCAGGTGGCATATAAGGTACTTATTTATTAGATTAGGGGATTAAAATTTAAATGTTGTTATATCTACGAAACAATTCAAAAAACGGTCTCGTAGATCATTAATCAACGCAAACAAATAACTAACTTAGACATTAAGTTATAGAAGTTCGCAAATCACAATTGTATTGCATTTCAAGTTAATAGGGGTAAAAAAAAGTTGAGTTGCTGGTGAATAGGGGTGAAAAAACTTGAATTGCCAAGTGATAAAAAAAACATGACATTTTAATTGTCAAATATTAATTAATAAAGACATTGCTCTTTGTATTTCTAATTTTCCGCAAACCGTACAAAACACAACATGATTCTTGTCATACATTGTGCAAAAAAACAATCGTTTTGGCGTGAATTGCAACTTGTATTCTTTTGTGAATATTGTTTTTTGTACTTGTAGTTTTGCGAATGGGATGTCTAAGAAAGATAGTTAACCCTAATGATTGTGGTTGAGGGTGCTATCTTCAAGCAAAAATAGACAATAAAACATCTATAATGCATTGAACTCTATAGAATTTTAATGAAGTGATGATAATCATTCTAATTTGCGTACAACTCTATCATTTTTTTTCTACAATGCATTGAACTCTACAAATTTCAATGAAACATTA